ACATCCCCCATCCCTCCCTCCAGAAGGAAAACTCTCGCCTCGGATTTGTCCCAGGGCAGGGTAATATCCTCTGCTTATAAAGACCCGCGATGCCTTTTTTAAACACGAGGCTGACATCACACTTAACGTTACGCGTTCGTCTTTATTAAAACTTCCAGGAGGGGTTTTATTGTTCGGACCGAGGGGAGAGGAAGGCTGAGATTTGTTGCGGGGTTCAGGTCACATGGCCCTAAATAAGCCCCTTGCTCCGGGGTTGGGCGGTGAATAGGGTCTCTGTGAGCCAGCAGCTCCTTCTGCAACGGGTAAAGGGGGGAGGCGGGTGCCAGCCACCCCGGGGCGGCGGGGGTCGTCCCCCCAGGGGGGTGGGTGAGGGCACAGGTTGCTTCGCTCCCGAGGGGACGCCCGAGGTTAATAATATCGATCGGTCGGTGCTGAAGTCCATACGAAGTGTCCTTGGTCGGGCTTGGGGAGAGAAAAAAAATAAAGTAGTAAATTTCCCGCTAATGCAGCAACGGAAGGGGTAGTCCTCGCAGGTGCTGAGCTGGGAGATTTATTTTCCTATTCAAAGACACTTTCTCGTATACAAAAATATCGAATCGTTCCCTTTCCCAAAACTCGATTCTTTAGGAGATCACAGAAAGGCAGTTTATGATTAAGGTGGTCAGACCTGGCATGAGGACACCGAAGTCCCACCTAACCCAACACATCACACCAGGCATTTTTCTTTTACGAAGAGCTTTGGAGCGCGTGTCGGCTGTACGTGTCCTTCAAAGGATGGAGGGGGGGCCGAAAACACTGCTTCCTTAGGTAATTTTGCTAAGTGACTCGTGTACTATCAATGCTATCAGAGTGCACATTATATTTTAATCTGCGTGGGTCCGTCTATACCTGGGCTCTGTTGGTGCCACCTGATTGTCTCTGTTTGGGGCGCCCCTCTCACATCACGCAAGGCTTGATGTCCTGACAGACGCTCTGATGGTGGTGGTGGTGGTAGTACGATCCGCTGGCCGAGGGGTGAAACGACGAAATGCCGTTAAAATTGAGGACAAAATCTTTCCTGTCGCACACCGGGGAGGGGTGATGCTGGTAGCGAGGCAATCCCACTGCAAGAGAAGGAGAGGAGAAGAAGAGCTGCTGAGAAGTCGGGTCGCTCTGCTCGGGGGGAGCAGCCCTTTCTTCCGCACCCGCGGTGGAGGGGGGGATGCCTACAGCCGGGCGGCCACGCCGCTCCGTTTTACCCGCTCTCCCCTCCCAATCCTGCAAGATTTGGGAGCTCCCCTGGGGCTTTCCTGGCAGCAAACCGGGCGCTCTCCCGGGGCAAAGCCTGCCCCGCTCGCAGGGCAGGAAGGGCGGCGGGTCCCATCGCCCCCAGAGAGGAGCGGACGTGGATCCCCCGGAGACCCGCATCGCCCGCGGGTGGGCTCGGGGCTGCACCCGTCCTCCCAGGGACCCCCGAGCCCACTCTGGGGGGAGGTTGTGAACTACACAACCGTGGGGCACACGGGGTGAGGAGGGGGAGGCGGGCGGGGGAGCATGCCCACGGACACATGCGTGGCCGCATCTCAGAGCATCCCTCCCGTGGGGGCACACAGGCACAACTGAATATCTCCCACCACCCCCCCCGCTCCTCCGCCCCCCTCCTGCGTCTCTACCAGCGCCTGGGGTCGGGTCAGCCTCTGCCCGTGGGGTGGATGTGGAGGGTGGGGGGGTGAGGGGGTGCGCCAGAAGAGGATGCGACTTGTGTGTTTTTTTCTGGATGCGCCGCAACAATTGGAATCTGATTCCCCTCTTTTCCCTCTCCTCACCCCGTCCCTGGGAGGTTTTTGCTTTTGGAATCTGATTCCCATCTTTTCCCCCTCCTCACCCCGTCCCCGGGAGGTTTTTGCTTTTGACTTGAACGGCTGCAGGTTGAATTCCAAACACGATCCGTTTGCGTGTTGGTAGTGTATTTATTTACGTGTGTGTGTGTGTGTAGGGGCGCGCACGCCTATACGCGTGTGGGGCTTTCATAAGGATAAGATCCAGTCCGAGGACACCCTACGGCTCCTCATCAAGGAGGCGAAGTACATCCCCGGCACCGACACGCGAATGACCTTGCAAATTCCCATTTTAATTTCCCACAGCCTAAGGGAACCTTTCGGGGGACAAAGTCCAAGGGCTGCGTGGGAGATCCACACACGCCCCCCCCTCCCCGTCCCCCTCCAGCCAGCGCCGTGGGGCATTGCTGGGATCTTTTAGCCTGGCAGCGTTCCTACTGGGATCCGGCGGGGAGGGGAGCAAGGCCCGCAGGGTAAGGCCAAAGAGGGATTTGATTTGGCGTGGGGATGTCAAACTCGGCTAGCGGGATTCCGTCAAATCTGACCGAGGGTCAAGGAAAAGGAAAGAAAAAAAAAAAAGAGAGAGAGAGAAAAATAGAAAAAAGCAGCAAAAGAAGGAGAAGCAAAGAAGAGGGGGCGGGGGGGAAAGAGGGAAGAGGGAAACGTCCCCGGTTTCCCCCAGGGTGGAGGAACCGAGCCCTTTGGCGGCGGCGGTGCAGAGGCAGCGCCCAGCCCGTCTCCCCCGGCACTGTCCCCTCCTTCACCCCGCAGAGCTCACTTTATAAAAGTGATTATTTCGCTGGATTTCCTCGGCTTTCTAATAACCCTGCTGGTATGCTCACCATAAACCGGGGCACTTTATTACAATCCTGATTCAATCATTTAGCAGGATTTAATAGCGTGCGAAAAAAATCTGGCTCCCCCCCCTCCTGCCCCCCAGCTTCAAAATCCTTTTAGCAGAACCGAGCCTCCTGTTTCCAATTTTTTCTTCTCTTATTCTTGGGCCTGATGCAAATTCAGGGTCTTAAATCCGCCCTGTCGCTGTCATGAGTAGAGGATTATTGACCGATCAACAGCAGTTGCTACCGAATTTGCTTTGCATTTAACTAAAAGAAAGGGAAAGGCGAAATTTACTTGCTACTGGTTTTGTGGGGAGAGGAGGAGAAAGATTACTGCTGGTAATGATTACCAATGAAGGAGTTCGGATCTTTTTTCCCCATCTCCTTTCACTATACTAAAACTTTTGCGCCGCAGAGATTTTACGTAGCACACACGAATGAGGATCGGATCCACGCAAAAAATTAAAGGGTTGGGATGTTGTTGGTTTTTTTTTTTTTTTTAGTTAATTAAGGAATGGGGAAGGTTTCCGCTAAAGTCCTGGGCCCAGATCCTGAAGCTGTAGAAAATAAGCGGAGAAACAGCTTTTGCAGAGTGGGGACATTAAGTCTGAGCTGCTGGAAACGGACGCTGGTCGTCGGTATTAAAAAAGCGTCCATGGGTCAGTCTGTGTGTATATCCGTCCTTGAAGAGAAATAATTCGGATTTAAACCGCCCCAGCCTAGGAAACCGTGGCGGAGGCTTCGGGGGAACCAGTTCCCTTCCCCTCTCTCTTATTGCTTTTTGTTTTGAAGAGCTGTTCTTGGGCTACTTCGAAATGAAAATTTCTCGTCCAGGAATCCCCCTTTCCCACCTCGGTTGTCTGTCAGGAGGAGGGGGCAGCCGCCTCCCAGCCCCGCTCCCTGAGCCAGCCCCACTCCCGCGCCACGCGTGGCCTCCTGGGCCCTGAGCGGCGGCCCGCGGGGACGCAGGGAGTAAAACGAAGAGGGGGAAAAAAAAAAAAAGAAGGGGAAAAAAAAAAAAAAAAAACCCCTGCCACAAAATCGTGTCCTTTTTACTTTCCAAAAAAAAAAAAAAAAAAAAGAAAAAAAAAAGAAAGGAAAGGAAAATAAAAGAAACAAACAAAAAATCCAAGTAACAACAGCAATATCAACCAAGCAAAGGAAATTCCTAACGGTAAAGGTAGGCATTTCGGCAGAGGGTGCCCTTGTAAACCCGCCGGCCTCTCGACCCGGACACGAAAACCACGTGTAAGGACAACGTGAATCTCCGAAAAGTGGGTTCAGGCCCCCGCAGCAGAGCCCCGTGGGCACGGAGGAGACCCTCGGGGGATGCCCCGCGTCTCACAGCCCTCTCTGCGCCGAAACCCCCCGGTAAGACTGCGACCCGCTCCGCAGCCGCCTCTCCCCAGGAGCCACATCAGGGCTATTTAGGCGTTTGGGATTTGGTTTTGTCTTATGGTTTGTTTGGGTTTTTTTTGTTTTGTTGTGGTTTGGTTTTTTTTTAAGGGAGGAAAATTTGCAACCGCTTGCTCTCCCGTGACACCCCAAGTCCCTTCTGCGGTGATGGCCGGGCGGGTTCCCCGGCGGCTGGGCTCCCAAATCACCGTCCCCCCCGACAGGCTGTGGGGAGGCCGGGGCAGGCTGAAGGGCTCGCAGAAGGACGGGAGAGTGATTGACAGGCGGGCAAGGAGGGGAGGGGGCGGGAGGGGACTCGGAGCTGAGGGTCGCCTGTA